CCCTGGCCTTGTTCTGACTGATGATATTGAGCTTTTCCATCATCTCTTTCCACAGATGTAGTCGATTTGATTCCTGTGTCATCCATTCAGTGAGGTCCACGTGTATAATCACTGTTTTGTTGTTGAAAAAAGGTATTTGCAATGAACAAGTCGTTGGTCTTGCAAAATTCTATCATGTGATCTCTGGTGTCATTTCTAACACCAAGGCCTTGTCTTCCAACTACTGATCCTTCGTTTCCAATTTTTGCATTCCAATCACCAGTAATTATCCATGCATCTTGGTTGTATGTTTGATCAATTTCAGACTGCAGATGTTGGTAAAAATCTTTAATTTTCTCATCTTTGGCATTACTGGTTGGTGAGTAAATCTGAATAACAGTCATATTAACTGGTCTTCCTTGTAGGCGTATGGATATATTCTATCAATGACAGTGCTGTACTACAGGAGAGATCTTGTAATGTTCATTTTGACAATGAATGTGATGCCAGCCCTCTTCAATTTGTCATTCCCCGCATAGTAGTCCATATGATTGTCCAACTCAAAATGGCCAAAACCAGTCCATTTCAGCTCACTAACGCCTAAAATATCAATCTTTATGCGTTCCATTTCATTTCTGATGACTTCCAATTTTCCTAGATTCACAGTTCATATTTTCCATGTTCCAATTATTAATGGATGTTTACAGCTGTTTCTTCTCATTTTTGAGTCATGCAAAATCAGCAAATGAAGATTCCAAAAGCTTGACTCCATCCACATCATTAAGGTTGACTCTACTTTGAGGAGGTAGCTCTTCCCCAGTAGTCTTTTGAGTGCCTTCCAACCTGAGGGGCTCATCTTCCGACATTGTATCAGACAACATTTCGCTGCTATTCATTAGGTTTTCACTGGTCATTTCTTTTTTTTTTTTTTTTTCAGAAGGAGACGGCCAGGTCCTCCTTTCTAGTCTGTCTTAGTGCACTTAAGTACAGTATCATATATCATAAGAAAATAAATTTTAAAGCATCTTAATTACCTATTAGCTAGACCAGAAAGAGGTAAAAAATAATTTTAAATCTTTCAGTATCTAGATGAATGATTTTTAACAATTTTGCAAGATATACTTCTTTGGTAATACAATGAAAATCCAGAAAAATACACATGCCCATAAAATGCTGCAATTTTAAGGGGCTCCTAGATCCCGAGGGCCATTCATGCACTACTTAAGAGTCCAAGGACCCCAGATTAAGAATCCCTCATATTTACTATTTTACTTGCCACAAAGTTCTATAACATCTCATATACACTTTAAGAAAGAATGGTCTAGACAAAATGTGATTCTGGTCTACTGGCCTGCTTCTCTGCTTTTGTAATACATGTGTAGTTTCAGGGGTGAACAGTATATCACAAAATACAAGTAATTGTTATTGCTGTGACCAGAGGAAGCCATTTAAAGCCTCTAAGCCAGCATTTCCAAACTATGCTTTGCAGAATCCTACTGTCCCAGATGTTAGTAAGAGAGGTAGAATAATGCAGTGGGTATTGTTGTCCAGTGCCACTGAGTCAATTTTAACTCATACAACCTCATGTGAAAGAGCAGAACTGCCCCACAGGATCTTCTTGGCTGTAATCTTTACACTAAGTCTTTCTCCTGCAGAGCTGCTGGGTGTGTATCTTTTGGTTAGCAGCCGAGTACTTAACTGTGTGCTATGAATATGAATTCTAGAGCCCAATAGACTTGGTTCAAATCCTAGCTCTTACGTCTTCTTAGATGATGATTTGTCTCTGTTTCCTCTTCGGTAAAATGGGACTAATAATAGTACCTACCTCAGAATACTGTGAGAACTGAATGTGTTAATACATGTAAAGTACTTAGAATAGTGCCAAGCATATAGCAGGCACTATGCAAGTATTTGCTATGATTACTATTACTGTTGCTATTATTATTATTACTACCATTGTTGTTGTTATTGATGGGAATTCCCTGGGGGGTGGGGGAGAGTTCTACGGTCACTTCAGATTGGAAAATATTGTGTATTTTAACCCCCTCTCGGATATTAATGAGGCACATTAGCAGAGTAAAAGACCTGAGAAGTCCTGTGACACCCTAACAACAAAAAACTGTTAAATCACCTCAAATCAGTGTTTCCCAAGTGTATTTGATCAAAGAATTCATTTAAAAAAAAACTGAAGAATAGCTATTAATATATCACAAGATAACAGTATTTCTAGAAACATGATTTGGGAAATGTAGCTTGCCGCTGGTTTATCTGTTTAACAAAGGACAATATTCTCCTGTTTTGAAAATTATAGAATATATTAAAAACCCTTTTAAACCATGTAAATTCAAGCTTCTACAACAGACACTTTTTGAGTAACAATTCTCTTAACTGCCTGTCATAAATCAGAATACCAAGTAGCCGAAACAAGCAACACAAAACAAATACATATACTGTAACTGCAACAACAAAGCTAACCTTTGTTATGAACAAGAGACATAAAAAATTCAAGACCTAAGGAAATAGTATCTTGTCATACTAAGAACAGCATGAGGGCTTATGAATATGATTATCTTATTTCCATTAGGAATTCTGATATCCCTACTCTATGTACTAACACAGCATGTATTATAAAAGCATGGTTGCAAAAGATGAATTGTTCTTCTCTTTGACTAATATGTTAGATGCCAGTTGAGCCTAGACAAGCAGGATTAATAAGAATGTGCTTCACAGATTTTATTATGTACTTGTAAACATGAACTCTTTTTAGATCTGAGACCAGAGAGATATGGAACAAAATGATCCATGCTTGCATGATACTTATTTTGCTACCCAAAGGGATGGATCTAGGGTATGCTGAAGTTCTTATGGAAGAAAAGAAAAGTAAAATTATATGTAACTCCTAACTTACCTATTTTATAATCTAAATCTCAAGTTCCTGGGGTACAAAAAGGTTTTGAAAAGATATGGCTATATTTTGATGAGAAGTAAAATATAATACTTTCATTTAAAATGTCCGAAATTCAGAAAGTATATAGGTAGGACCTTCATAAGATACAACAGTGAAGAGTTTTTGAAAAAACAAGATAGGATATGCAAATATACTTTAAAGTTCTCACTTAAAGATTTTCCCCTTTTGACCTGAATGGAGCCTTTTGGGGATTTTTGATTTTTGAGGGAGTAAGAAGAAGCTACTTCTCATACTACACATAAATTAACAAAATAATTTCATGATAAAGTTATAAGTCAATGAATATTATATTGCCTCTCTATAATGCACTATAATTCGTTATTTATAAATTTAAATTTTGCTATTTTTACTTGAGCTATTTTTTTTTTACTGTACAACACATTATATATCATAATCAGAAGCACACTTTACCTCCAATACTGTACTGAATCTGTCCATTCTTCCAGACGACCAAAATTCTATGATGTCCAGTGTCTGCTATTACTAATCTGTCGGTAACATGGTCTACTATTACTTTGCCAGGAAATAGCAATGGTGAAGGTGGCAAAGAATCTTTAAAGAGTTTTATTCCAACTGTTTTATCTCTGATCTGTCCCCTATCTTTGTAATACTTTAAAGCTATCGAAGTATATAAGAATAATTTATCTTTGTGTCCCTCTCCCATCAAGGAAAACAACATGTTTCCACGGGGTCCAAGTATGACCAGAGTTGGCCAGCAGGAGACTTCTAGTTCTTGCCAAAGGCTGGCATCTGCATCATTAACCACAGGGTGGGTGATATTGTAGCGAAGAACGGCACTCTTAACGTTATCCAGGACTTTTTCATTTGGAAACTTAGCTGAGTGAACACCAACAACCAGAAGACCATCTGAAAGGGAAGAATTAGAAGTTGAACATTATGAAGTATTAAAGTTTGAATATCATCACCTATACATCAGGTTTGGGGTCATTAATAAATGTAAACAGTCCATAGATCAAAAAGAAAAAAAGTAGAAAGACCTATATTAGTGTCTTCAACTGCATGTAAACACATGTATAAAAAAATGTAACAAACACATACCTCATGACAATCTTGATAATGACATAAAAACACATATGATTAAATTCATCGGGCTATTTCAGGATTAAAATTCTTTATGCTCTTTACCTAGGCAAAGCTATATAAAAAAAAAAGAAACTATTTTCTTAAGAAGATTTTGAAATTTTGTGACTTTTTTCCACCTAGAATAAACTAAAAAAAAAAAAAAAAAACCTGTTGCCATTGAGTCGATTCTGACTCATAGCGACCCTACAAGACAGAATAGAACTGCCACATAGGGTTTCCAAGGAGCAGCTGGTGGATTTGAACTGCCTGCCTTTAGGTTAGCAGCCATAGCTCTTAACCACTCCACCAGAAATTCACAGCGACTATGACTGCTTTTTTTGGTATTTATTGTAGTACCATTCTTTTTCTAACATAACCTAATACTACAAACTAACAGAACAAATAAATGTTTCTATAATATAAGGTGGTAGATTTATTTAAAATTCCTATTATAGTTCTTCAAGCCCTGGTGGCGCAGTGGTTAAGAGTTACGGCTGTTAACCAAAATGTCAGCAGTTCAAATCCACCAGCCGCTCCTTGGAAACCCTATGGGGCAATTCTACTCAGTCCTATAGTCAGAAAGGACTCAACGGCAACAGGTTTGGTTTTCGGTTTTATTATAGTTCTTAGAACAAGCACTCAGAAAAAGAAAAAAAAAAGAGAAGTATTAGGCTGGATTCAGAGAAAAAACACAATATTGACTACCAAAGTAGCAGAGGTAATAACAGCTATGTAAATTCAAATCTCCCAACGTACCCATCAAAAACTATACAAATCAGCATGAAGAGCAAAATCACATAAATTGGAGTTCTATTTCTGCTATGGAGGTGTAATTCCCCAATAGCCTATCCCTCTACTGTTTACAACTATTAACTCCAGGCCAAAACACCTACAACACACATCTACCTGAGGATTGTGAAAAGTAAACAAAAGTAGTTGGATTGTAGAGAGGAGTAAAAACTGGGAAAAGCAAACCACATAAGGGTGAGTTTCCAGGTTCCCCCCCACCCCCCCGACCCCTTCATAGCCATGCCTTACTGGTGGGCCCAGTTTTGAAGCAATGCAGGAGGCTAAAATTACAATAGAAGAAACTTCACTACCTTTCTGGTGCAAGGAACCAGGGAAACTGGAGTATGTGAGGGGAATCCTGAAAGGAATAGAGGTGGAGAAAAGGATTCTTTCAGTTTGTGAACTCTCACAAGTTTTGGCCTAACCTCTGAACCATCATGTGTGAGACTAACCCAAACCAGTGCAGCAAGTGCTTAGAAAACTCAGATCTGAACTACTGGGCTTGAAGCAACAGGACCTTTATTGGAATTTGGTTTATTTCTCAACTTATAGGTAACTTGAAGGCCATGATATTTTCTGTTTCCTAGTCGCTATGAGTCGGAATCAATTCCACGGCTACGGGTTTGGTTTGGTTTTGGTTTTAGTATTGCTAAATGCAGGGTCATACGTGGTTTTATTTGCTCTTCTGGTTGATCTTATGGGTTTTGGGGTGGGGGGGAGGGAGAGGATTAGTGAAGATATTTGAAATCAGGTGGCCACCATTCTCTTCCAAACCTGGAAGTAGCAATGATAGATACTTTCTTTCTTTTTTAAAAAAATATATTTATTGAGATATAATTTAGCTGAAGTAAATCTTGTCGTTTGATATTTTATTAATTGATTAGATAAATATACTCAAGACCTAAGGCCCCTTTCATAGCCTTACTTAATGGAATTCTGAAAATGCTTCTTTAAGTAAATGTTGTATTTTTATAAGTGAAATTATATCTTTCTTAATGAAAAAATTTTAAAAGAGAAATTCTGTTTTTAAAACCTCACCAAAAACTCTTAATACTGAAAGAAAAATAACTCAATTATAACTGACATAATTTTACATTCAAATTATTCATAGCATTTTCATTTTTGTCTGCTGTTTGTTCTGAAAATGAGTATGTCATGTCCTTGCATGTTTTACCCTTAATAATAATGTTTATATTTAGTAACTTTTATAGTTCTTTTTGTTTTAAATACTACTTTAAATGTAAGATAAATAGCTTGCTTCATGTTGGGGGGAAAACCAGAATACACAAAAACTATTCATCCTAGTATGCATCTTCCAGATACTTGTTTATTTAACCATAAATGCTACAAAAATATCTACAAAAATCATTTTGTTATCTATCCCATTAAAATTTTATAATATACAATTGCTTGCACTGTTATTCAATTTTACTTTATCTCTGAAAAGAAAGAGCATTTGGCTAACAGAAAGGGATCAAATAAGCAATGAGTGCATATATTTTATGCATGCAGATAGATATTTGATACAACTATTGACTCTACAAAGTTAAAGTTAGTAAAATTTCTTTATGAAATCTCCTGCAATATGGGGCTATTTTTCATAGTAGTGAAAAATTTGGAATATGGAGTCAGATTCCGGGGGGCTGAAATCTTAGCTCCACCATTCACTGCTAGGTGACCTTTGGCAAACTGCTTACTGTCTCTGTACCTCAGTTTTCTTATCTGTAAAATGGGAATAATCTGCTTCTTAAGATTGTTGTGAGTTGTTAGTTTTTATTATATTTAGAAATCTCCTATCTTCCCTCCCGTCTTCGCCTATGTCAAATTTTATTTATATTATTTTTTACTATTCATTTAAGCTTTCCTTAAACAAACAAACAAACAAAAATGTTGGAAGTTTGTTCCTATGTATAACTATTTCTTATGGGGCAAATGAAAATTTTTCTAGAAATAAATTCAGAAAAATTAAAAACTTTAATTCAATCATATTCTTCCATAATTCCTGATAACTAATTAAGTATACATAGTTTAAGTACTCAATAAATGTTAATTGTTGCTATTATTCTTATTACTACTATAAATGGGCTCACTTTACCTCTTTCTATACTTTTCCCCAGCCCATCGTCTTCTTTTTGGAATGCCTCAATTATCTAGAGGCTATCTTTTCTTGAAAAGTTAAGATCAAGTGAAAGTCTTAAATTACTCTAGCACTGAATTCCCCCAGCATTAGTCAATGCACTATACTGTACATCATGGACATATGTATAGTATAAACTCCTAAAGGAGTTTATGCTTTAGTTAGAATAAGTGATAAAACAAGGACACAAAAACTAACTAGCATATGACTGGTATTAAATGTCCCTGTCTTTACCAGTCAAGTCAGATGTGAATCAAGTATCACACTAACAAATGTAAAATAATGATACAGACTCAAGCATACCAATGATCATGAAAATGGTGCAAGACCAGGCAGTGTTTCATTCTCTTGTCTGTGGGGTAGCCATGAGTCACAGCCGATTCACCTACAACTAAGAACAACATGCCACAAAGGAGAGGTATAATAGGGCAATCTGATCTACCAAGCCTACTGAGAGGTTAGTCAGGAAGGTTTCTACTGACTCTCCCTTCAATGTTTTTTACTTTCCGTGGGTACACTAAACCTCCTGGGGGAGGGGGGTGTCAAGGCATAAGGAAGGCAATCACATCAGCCAGCCCACAGTTGGCAATCCAAGTCAACTCACAAAAGCCAACAGAACAATGTGCTCTATTGCTTCCAAACTAGGGTTCCTTCCACAGAGTGATGATTCCAGTTAGAACAGATAAATCTGCTTACACTGGCTACAACTACATCAGCATGAGCGGTGACGGGCATACAGAGCCAAGGAGCTCTTTCTTTAACTTGCAAGCTTACTCCAATCCCTTTTATTTATAATCAGCCCATCCCCTTGGGATTTCATCCCTTATGCACTGTATAATCCTCTTCCCCCAACTCCTCTTTCACCTCTCTCCAAGGTATAGCTAGCTAGATCGCATGAAGTTCTGCCCCTAATTGTCTACTTCATTTGCATGTGGATTTTTTCATTATAATAATTAACATGAGGAAAGAGCCTCATAACCAGAGGAACCAAGAGTGCAACCTGATTAGTTCCACCTTAACCTGGCACTCTGTCCATTTGGTTGAGTTCTGTTATTGACAAAAATCTCATATATATATTTTTAAATTGGTCACAAAGATCTGTAAATTTTATTCCTAAATGATTTTTTAAAAAATTTTATTGTGCTTTAGGTGAAAGTTTACAGCACAAATTAGTTTCTCATAAAAAACTCATTTTTAAGGTCTCAAAATTACAAATACCCAGCAGTCTCCTCCTCCTCAACCTGTGTAACTTTTCCCAGCATCTGAATTCACTGACTTAACACACTCTATTTTTACTAACCAACCCATGGCACGTTCTCCTTCCAATATTTCAATAATTTTCCTTCTCATCAATATATCCCAACATTTCCTTGAAGAAGTGATGACTGTGGTGAGATCTGAACAATGAGAAAGTGCTAACTAGATGAAGAGGGTGCTGAAGGGGAGTGCCGGGAGAGAACACAGCACACACTAAAGACGAAGCATACAAGATGGAAAGGACTGAGGACGGTAACTTAGCACAGAGAACAAAGGGGAGCATGGGACAAAATGAGAATGAACATGCAGATAGGAGTCAGCCTTGTTAAGTCAAGGATTTGGACCTTTATCCTAAGAGCAATGAGAACTCATATGGAAAATGAAGTTTAAGTCTCAAAGATACTTTAAGCTCAATAAATGCAAGATACCTTAAACTAAACCCATGACATCCCGCTCCAAACATGTCCTTTCTCTAGTGTTTCCTGTCAGTGAATGTCACCACCATCCACCCAATTATACAAGTCAGAAACCTACCTCGGACGTCTCTAATAACCAACTAGCCATCCCTTATCACCCATATCTAATCCATTACCAAGTGCTG